CGGTCCAGTGGTCTAGTTGGTTAAGCGCCTGGCACGGGACTGATAGGTCCTGAGTTCGAATCTCGAGGGGAGCGGGATCGTGGATGTGCACCGCTGAGGAGTCATATACTAGGATGAGACGGCCATCCAGTGCTTCCAGGTTTTCCATAGTAGTCTAGCTCCAACTGACTCATGATTTCAACCAGTGAAAGATCATATTTTTATCGGTTTATTTCTTTGTTTTATTCACATATTTGATAGTGACAGTATGTCTTTATTTATATATGACAAAAACATCTTTATATATTTCTAAATAAATTGATTATCTTTTTTTTTGAAAAGTACATTATTTGTAAATTAAGGTTTCGAAAGGTTAACTACAATTCATTTGTTCAATATTCATTATATGTTCAATCATTTTTTTCCTATTTTCAAACAATTAAAAAGTAAATCAAATCTAAATGTCATAGTGATATAATAGTTAAAAGGAAAACTTTATTTGAAATAAATAGCCATAGAAAACACGATCTTTCTTTTATTGAAGCGAAAGAACATAAAGAAAATTTTATGAGATTTGAAAAATATCAGAAGTGGATGATTTAAGTAGTAGTAGCAGTAGTAGTAGTAGTATAGTATTAGTAGTGGTAGAAGTAGTAGTAGTAGTATAAATATAATTAATGTACAACAACATATATACACACATAGAGTAATAAACATTTAAGCCTACACAGTGATACATTCAACCACAATTGTTCACCTAACACTTAGTATAAATAAATAAATAAATAAATATGACAAATTTCGTTAAAAAAAAAGGGTGGGTGGGTGGAAACTGACGCGAACACAAAATAGTGATATGATGAGAAAAATTTACATTTATGATAACTTTTGAAAATATTTACGATAGAATATCTCTACAACACACTTACACACACAAACACACTTACACAGAGATAAACATAACCTACTCACGGACAGTTATATAAATATACGTATATAAACAATGAAAATTTAAACAAGAATAAAAGAGATATATACAGTTAGTGATAGAGAGAGTGTACAATAAATAAAAAAAAAGAGAAGAGGAGTAAAAGTAAAACATGAATATTAGGCAATAGTGAAGAGGATGCAAAGTGATGAAGTATATATATATATATATATATATATATATATATATTTGGCAGTTATATAGTACAACCAGTTTACAAAAGTCTAATCTATAAATAGCGGCATATATATTTAAACAAAAAAAAACAACGATTACACTGACTTTCATTTGATATCTTTACTCCATTTCTTGTCATTCACTCATTTCCTGTGCGTTGTATAGTATTAAAGATATATATATCTATATATACCATAAAATTGTTTATTTTATTATTGTCCTTTCCTGTGAAATATGTGTATGTATATAAAAATAAGTTTTTTTGTTGTTGTTGACAAAGTTGCATTTTATTTATAGTCAGTTCAATAACTTGTATACTTATTTTGATAGATACTATATATATATCTACGTTGCAATGAATTCTTAATGTTACTTTACCATTGACGTAATGGGTAATGAATATAGGAAAAATTATTATTATTATTATTATTATTATTATTATTATTATTATTATTATTAGCTTTATTTAACATTATATTTTTGGTACAACATAGAATTCTTAGCATAAGGTATTTCAACAAGTCTCCTTTTCTTATACCTTGATCTATTGTGACGATAAATTTTGAATGATGACCGGTTAGATGTTAGGAGTTCGGTAATCCACATTTGATTAATGTTCATTCGTTTCAATGCACCATGATTTCGCTGATTGTATCTTTTTGTATCACGTATAGCGAAAGGTTGTAAATTTTTCATAAACGCGCCTGAACAGATTGTGTGCACAATAGACATAATGATGTGCTAAAACAAATAATAAAACAGATAATTTGATGAAATATCTAGATCGGAGGAACAGGTAGCTCAGATATTCAAGCAGGCCGCCAAGTATCCTTAGTCAATGTTTTAAATTGTTAAATATCCTTGGCAAATTACACAAAATTCTATTTAAAATCATTATCAGTTTACTTATTTATAATCATGTACAATTAATTGATCACTAAGTAATGATATATGACATGTTGGTTTAATCTTTAAATAGATGATTAATTCTATCATTCAAATTGTTCATTAGTTCAACCGATGAAACACTAAGTACATGTTGTTGAGATGGAAGGTAGCTGGAAGTAATTGAAAAGAAACTATAAACTTGAATTTCATATTCGTTTACATTATTCAACATGAAATATTTGTAATTTTGAGGGAAGTGATGATTCTTATGGGATTGCAATTTGATCGACATTAAATGACTATGGTTAAGATCATGAGCCAGTTGAAACTAGACCACCATGGAAAACCTGGAAGCACTGGACGGCCGTCTCGTCCTATTGTGGGACTCATCAGCAGTGTGCATCCACGACCTCGCCTTCTGCGAGATTCGAACCCAGGACCTACTGGTCTCTCACGCTAGCACTTAACCACTAGACCACTGAGCCGGCATCCAACTGACTCATGATCTTAACCATTGAAATTACTATAATATCCACAAAACCCATCTGATATTAAATGAGTAGATAAACACGGCATTAATCATTGCTCAGCGATCAATTACTTGTAAATATCTCAGTTCTACAGAAGGTCAGTTGTGGCTAGAATGTTACAAATTATGATACTGAATGAAGAGTGTTCGAATCCATCAGGGAGGATCATTTTTCCCAGTATTGTGAGTATATATTGTCCCCCAGTCCCAAATAACATAACAACTAGAATAAGAAGGATTTTATGTAGACTGAATTAAAATTCGGAATAGTGATAAACAGATTTATACTTCATAATTCATTGATATCGTGTCTACTACTAGATTAACATAGTTTAGCACTCTCTTATGGAATATTCTAGATACAATTCACTGACGAAGCGAAAACAAAGTCAAAAAAATTTTGTGCGGTACCTTATCAGTTAAATTTATAGTAGAAATTCTCATTCAGTTATTATTGTTGGAGTTCATTGAACACGAAGCTTAATTGTAAAGCTTTTAATGTCACCCCATACAACATCATTAACGCCTACATCTTATTGAAATGAGCATAATAGTTATTACTGTAGAGTTAAAACTATTCGTTCTGATCGTTTTGTTGGTGACTTGTTATCTTCTAAAGTTTTGTTGTCCAGTTCTATATGTAAACCCTAGAACTGAAACATCTAACTAACCTAGCTTTATAATAGCCACAAAAGGATCCACTTGAGGTGCAATTTTATATCTTATTCATTGTAACAATTTTATATTAAGCTTTGTCGTTGTGCAATTGTACACATTTTTATGATGTTTTCAGTTTATGTGATTATGTAATGCAGTCAAATGTGAATAAGCTCTGTTAAGTCTGTTACACAAATGTTTAATACTGACTTTTTAGTCACTTTCTAAATCCATGGAATTTTCCCATATTTAAAACTCAAACAGTACAAAAAAATGCATTGAGTTACCAAACTAACTTTACTGCAAGGTTTGTTTATATACAGAAAATAATCGTATTTTTATAGGTCTGCTGAAAATCTGTGACCATCGAGAAATGTCGATAGTATTTCAAATTTAATAGCAGCGTAATTTATCATACAATTTACATACGACACTTAATATGTCAGTTTTCTAAACATTTTTGCAGTGTATCTTACCAAAAACGAAATGTTTTCAGTTCTACTGTGGATTTTGATAACTTCATTGGGGAATTCTCTGAGGATTCCGATAGTTTTAACTATATACATATATTATAAAGATAAAGGATATGAAGCCAAAAGTGGGAGAACATTTAATGGTTTAAAATGACTAATCTCTAATCCCTATCATAAAAACATATTTTATTATATGTGCTTCCGGATGTTTAATAATAAACTGCATCATGAAAATAATTCACTATAACACTGGAAATATTGTTCCGGAAATCAGAAAGAAATCTCCGCAGTTTTCTCTGTTTCTATGGGATCAGTGAAACGTAAAAACATTTTAATTAACTATTATGATAAAAAAGGGTAGAAAATCGAATATATGATTGTCACGAATTAGTACCTTGTGAAAGCAATACAACTGACATTATCGTCATTTCAATCAGACTTCGAAATTTTCTGAAACTGTATTTCCATCGTCTGATTAATTCTCTCATTCAATGTGTCATAGATTCCAAAGTCATTCCATACGCTAGAGTTTTGGTACCGAAGTAGGTTTCTCAAGAGCTTCAATTAACTCATAGCTCTTAGCTCAATACACTACTCTAAACCTAATGACTTATTTAGGTTGGTTTAGTTTCAAATGTAAATGTTTGAGTAGATATTTGAAGAACATTGATTGATTTGTTACAGAGCGAATGTACTCACTGTCCTACGTTTTCTTAGTCTTGCATCAAATTGGTATAAGTTTATTTAAAATGGGAAAATATAGATTATTTCATTTGATATTTTGTCAAGATTAGCTTATATCTTAGGTTTAATCTGTCGTAGACTGACCTCACTTGGCTAAAATTAGAAACCAGAGTGCAGTGGACAACTGTTTTATTTTAGTATGAGATTCCTCAGCAGGGTACAGCCAGGACCAAGGTAGCCTTCAAATCAAGGAATTTTGAGTTTCGTGGCAAGCACTAAACCATTAGAACAACTTGGTCTACTTCCAGCATTATGATTACACCTACAATCAGTTTGCGATATAGTACAATGATCATACCGTGGCATACGTGACATTAGTTTCACTCTCTATGTTTCTGGGTTCCATCAGTTACGGATCAATACAGTTGAGGAGTCCCACGTTGGGACACAACAACAACCCAGTGCTCCCTGATTTGCAATGGTACTCCTATGGAAATCAATATGTGAGGATTACGATCTTTAAACGATTTAATTTTGAAATATTACTCGTGTTCTCATCGATTAGAATAACTCTTAATCTATTAACCATATCATAATTGTAATTTTCATTATCATATAAATATAGCCTTCTGCATGTGATTCAACTATATCAAGTTTGAATAATCCTCGAATAACATTTCTGCCACCAAGTCTACGAATTATACAACGTTCCATACCATTATATTTAATTGAAAGTATTCCAAGTAGTCAGTTACCAGTGAAAAAACAAGGTATGTCTTCAATTGAACATTGATCAGATTTTTTTGTTTTAATTTAAATGCATTAGGAATATTATATTGACAAAATAACATTGAAAGTCCAGCATAACAGTTTTATAAGTAGTTAAAGAAAGAAGTCAAAAACAGCCTAATATAAGCTTTTTTTGGTACTTATGTATTTTATTAGTTGAATTCATGAGTCAGTTTAAGCTATACCACTATTGAAAACTTGAAATCACTGGACGACCGTTTCGTTCTAGTATGGGACTCCTCAATAATGCGCATCTATTATCTCATACGCAAGACTCATGAATTCATTCGTTAAAATTACTACAACCTCCACGAATCTCCATTCTGATTTAAATATTTCGTCAGAAAACTTCAAAATTTAAACAGAACTGGATTATTTTAGATAACCAGCAAAGAGCTATAACTTAGTAATTAAATGATCCAGCTATAAAACACAATATGATCTTGGTTTGAAAATATAACCACCAAATTTGTTAAAGTTAATTGATCATTGTTGTTAAACAGAAGTGTATTAAAATTACCTAACAAGCGGTAAATTTTATTTTATAGTTTAAATCACAAACTGGTCTTAGTTAAAAGACGACTGAGAACCAAGAATTATTGTACAGCTATGGGAACTCAAGTCAAGTCCTGTGCAAAATTTCGTCTATAGTCTAATAAGTAATTTCATTAGTATTTTTCTTTCAAAGATTTAATAAAATACACAAAATAGTTATTGTGAAATCTTATTTTATTAGATGGACATTTTTATTGGTAATGGGAAATCGTTCTTCTAATAGTAGTAACTGACCTAATATTAATTATCAATGAAATTCGTAAGAGTTTTCATTTGTCCTGTTGTTGATATTTTAACTTAAATCTAGTCGTTCTTAATTGGCATATATACATCCTGTGCACAATGCTTCGATATAGCCATTATGACACAAGATTATATAGGAAAGATGGAATGTGGTTTTTAGTGGAATCAAGGATGCGCGCTTCGTCTTAGTTAGGACTCATTAGCCTAGAATGATAAAATTTAAGTCAAAATGCCAATAACGGAATAGTCGGGAACATCAGAATTTTATACTTGTTGCTCAAGTGAGTAGCCATTTGACCTTAGTGGCTTAGTGGATAACGTGTTAGAGTTTGAAGTGAAAGATACTGGTTCTGAATCTCGGAGTAAACATCAACTCTGAGACGCAGATACAACTAGCTGACGAGCCCGGAATAGGATAAAATGTGCACCCTGGAATCCACTACTAGCTAGATTCTATCTATTATACGAAAACTACCTTTAACTGGTTTTGGCATATATTAATTATGGTCAACTACCTTATACAGTAAAGTACATCACTAGTTGACGCAGTGATCGGCTGCAAGAGAGTAAGAATTATTAAACTGACACTTTATTCACCTGAATCGAGTGGTAAGATATAGACTTTTTGTATGCCATTAACTCGATAATCACAATCTTCAGTTTGAGAGTATTAGTGACGTGGATTAAAGTTGATCTCAATGGCGAAACTTTATTTATTCTACATTTTCATCAGTTCTTTCTTTTTCGTTAGTTTTATCTCAGTTGATTTTTCTCTTACTACCATTAATACTTTTCGTTTTTCAAATCTCTTTCTTATCTGACTATATATGGTAATATATATATATATATCCTAGGCTTTGTCTTGACTATAAACAGTGTGGAATCCAGGATGCGCGTTTTATCGTATTTGGGACTCGTCAGCTGGAAGTACTTGCATTCTCAGAGTTGATGTTCACTGTGGGACTTGAATCCAGTACCGTTCTCTTCAAACGCCATAGCGTTATCCACTTAGCTACTGCGTCCTGATAGCCACCTGCTTGTGCAATAGGGTAAAGTTTAAATTTACTTACTATTGCTTACTTGGATCTTCCCATATATGTTTATGACTGCGATTGATCAGTCTCTTACTGATATATGTGCATACCTTGCGTATTACCTTAATTCATAAGCATTCTAAACGAAGATGTATAGTAGATAGCAGTGGAATCCAAAATGCGTGTTTCATTTTATTTGGGTACTGGGTTCGAGTAGCGGAGTAAACGTCAAATCTAAGACACAGGCACATCCAGCTGAGTCCCGAATACGATAAAACGCATGCCCTTAATTTCACTGCTGTCCATTATCCATTTCTGCTTATAATGCTTGTGATTTAAAGGAATATTGAGGTAATCCTCACAGGATGCATATACGCCAATTAGTGACTGATCATTTGCAGTCCTAAACATCAATCGAAAGATATGAGTAAACCATATCAATTGAATTGAACTATTACCAATGATAAAATATACTTCTTCATTGTGTGTTTCATCTTATGTTTTGTGATATGACGAAAAGAAAAGTCAAAATTCGATTGATTTACTCATTATGAGTTTTGTTCAACATTAATTTCGTTTTGATTCAATGTGATGATGAATGTATTACTGACTATCGTCGTCGTCGTCGTCGTTGTATTTTAGGGTTAATAAATCTTCACTTATACTAGTATTTGTGTTCTTACTTTTGCATCGTGGGAATTGTAAAGGTCCCTTGTTTCCAATATAAATGATAAGAGTTTCTGACATAATAATCAGCATTGATCAGATATAACAAGTAGCATTCAATTAATAAATTATAACATTTTAATATTTTGTTTTAATTTTTAGTTACATCAAGAATTTGTGGAGAATTATATTGTTCAAATACATTACATATATTATTAATGATGAGTTTAATTGGTATATTAACTTGTTTAATGGGTTTAATGGGTATGTTATTAGCACGTAAATATCGTCATCATTTAAATCAAACAAGAAATTCATTAATACAATCAAAATCAATAACAATCAAACAAAATCATTGTATAGAAACAGATAAAAATTATTATAATCCAATTAAACAATCATCTATATCACAATATATAATTCATAAACCACAATGTCAATCAGATCAACAAATAGATAATGAAATATTCAAAAGTCTTTTAACAGTTGATAATCATATTACGAATAATAATAATAATAATACTAGTAGTGTTAGTAATACTAGTAGTAGTAGTAATAGTAATAGTAATAGTAGTAATAATAATAATCAACCATATACAATGGATATTAAAGATTGTTGTAAATATTGGTTAAATGAACATTCATATGCTAATCCTTTATTATTACAAAGATCTTTACCTGATGATCTAACATTGCACCAACATCATCATCATCATCTTCATCCTCAACAACAACAACAACAACAACAACAACCTTATCAGCAACATCAACTTTATCATTCACAATGTCAACAACATCAACAACCATCACAATATGAATTACAACCTTATCAAATTTCACCATCATCTACAATGGCTACTCCAAGTCATTGTTCATGTTTAAATGAGACATTATTTACTGATAATAAAATAATACAAAATTTATCTAATTATTATACATTAAAAGGTTATACTACATTACCAATAACTACATCGAATACATTTACATCATTTAAATCAATAGAAAATTCTAGACAAAATGATGATTATCCATTGTTGAATAGAACAACAACAGCGTTTATATTGGAACCAACACATACAATGATAAGTAGTATCAATAGTAGTAATACTACTACTGCTACTACTACCACTAGCACTATCACTACTATTAGTAATAATGATACTCATAATTATGGAAATAACAATAATATGAGTATAAGCACTATGAGCAATATTCATGAATCCATTACATCATCATATTCAACAACAAATATCAGTAGTAATAATAATAATTCAGTAATATATTGTTCAGATCAATTAACAGATTCTTATCCCCATTCTTCAATTCAACTCCAAGATGATGTAATACTATTTCAAAACAATAATAATAATAATAATAATTCAACTAATGAACTAAATAATAATCAATGGGGTACAATAAAAAATGTACAATTTGTAAATAATAAATCTAATCATTTATCATTACAATCTCAATATAAAAAATTATCTACATTTGATGATACTATTTATTTTGGTATAGATTATCATAATCCTAATTGTACAATAAATCCAGTAATAGAAACAATACAATTAGATACAAATGAATTACAACATAATCAAATACAATCACAATTTATACAACAATCATTGAAATAATAATAATAATAATAATAATAATAAAAGTATGTAGATTCTTGAAATGTATTAAAAGGTATTATTATAAGTAATTGAATATGATGTAGAAAGATAGATATTTTTTGACGAAGTTTTGCTCACTAGTGACTGACTTCAAGAGATATATCCTGGAGTTCTAGTGAGAAACAGTTATCAGTGGAGTTCTACCAGGTCTGTTGTGAGATAGGGACTCAGTGAAGACAATGGTGTACGGTGGCGTAACTTCGTGGATTGATTGAAGTTAGACATTAACACCATTGGATGCCAGACGGTCCATTGGTGTAGTTGGTTAAGCGCCTGACTCGAGACTGATAGGTCCTGAGCTCGAATTTCGCAGAGGGCGGGATCGTGGATGCGCACTACTGAGGAGTCCCATACTAGGGTGAAACGGCCGTCCAGTGCTTCCAGGTTTTCCATGGTTGTCTAGCTTCAATTGACTCATGATTTCAACCAGCAAATTTTTTTGAAGATTTTACAAGATTGATTTTAGCTAGTACTTACTTTCTTAAGCCTGTTACTTCCAATGAAGCATAGACCACCGACCAACAACCTTCAACCCACTTTGTCCTGGACCTTCCTTTCTAGTAAAATGTAATAATTTTAGTCAGTGACAAAAATTCAAATTTGAATTGTACAAAATATTCATAATTCAAACTGTACTTATCAGAGGTAATTTTACATTTGATAGTCTATGATTACCACGACGCGCAATGCTGACTAGTGTTAGAAACATATGAAAGAAAGTTAGGGATGACTAAACTATAACGTAGCATCAGTTCACAAGGTTACTAACATCTCGTGTGAGCTATGTTGGTGGTGGATTCAGATTACTTGGTTGGAGTCTGTGTGACTATCGTAACCAATGATTAGAGACTCTCTGTAACATGGCTCAGAATCGATCATAATGATGCCGGTGTATACACTCTCCATCTTATCAAGGACAGTTAAATGATTGTGTTTATTTGAATATGTTGAATATATTAGTCTATAAGAATTAGAAAATTGTTACATCATATAATAATGTAGTTAAAGATTACAAAGAGATTTCAAGTATTGAATTCAATAGACTATAGTAAAATAAAGATATTTTACGTCATTTCTAAAAGAAAATAATAAGCAGTTAGACTTATCAAAGGGTTTTTAAGTATTGACTATAATTTACGTAATTATTTCAGGAGCAATAAAAAACAAATCATAAGTTAAGGGACAAATATAAAAGAGAATTGTTTATACTTGATGAGTCTGAAATAGATGAAAAATAAGAGAATGGATGAATGTTAACACCATGGAATATAGAGACTGATTCCACTGACACTAAGTGTTTAGTTCATTTTTATATTGGTTATTTGAATCTTCTCATTGATGTTTACAACGGTAATTGATCAGTTTCATATTAGCATATATACATCCTGTATGGACTGCCTGAAGTCACAAGCATTCTAAGTAAAGATATATAATGGTTAGTAGTAAAATCCAACATGTCCATTTTGTTAGATTTTAAAACTTGTCAGCTTGTGTAATAGGGTGAAGTTTTAGTCTATTTTTTTGTAATTAGTTGTTGATAAGTGTTTAAATTTGATGATGTGTTCAAGGGTCGAATAATCAATTGATTTGAATTCTTTTTCAGATAGAGATCAAATAGGTATTTATTAACTATACTGTTGTAACGGGTGGATTGCACAGTTTTGATAAGCAGCGTATATTATCGATCGATTACAGTGGCACGTAAAACACGTAAGGACGACCTAGAATCCCGATTGGTCCCGCCTCCCTGTCTAGCCCAGCTAGTTGAGTCTAGAACGCAAATCACAGCCTCTGAGTTATGAATCATTATACTTCAGACATACTCTATTTATATACCAAACAAACAGACCACACCGTACCATAAAATAGAAAACAACATTTGTACAATATTTAACAAGTGGAATAAATACTGACCAATAGGGAGTGTACATTTAAAGTTCAAGGCCACTATTAGACTTAACATGATAATTATTGGTATATTCCTCCGCATACCTAACATATACATTTCTTGATTCTTTTCAATGTAAATTTTTTTGTTTTTGAATGAGATCATGAACCGATTGGTATTAGACCACCGTTAGAAACCTGGAAGTACTGGACGACCGTTTCGTCCTATTGTGGGACTCCTCGGCAGTGCTCATTCACGATCCCGCTCGCGAGATTCGAATCCAGGGCCTTCAGTCTCGCATACGAACGCTTAACCTACTGGGCCACTGAGCCGGTATCCAATGGTGTTGGTGTCTAACATCAACCAATCCACGAAATTGCGCGACCATCTTCCATTGTACTGAGGTACATACCTGTTTCTAACTGACAAGGATTAGCTCTACTGGTCATGGCTTCTCACTAAAACTCCGAGAATTCCCCTATACTGACCATTTTTTGTTTGTTTGTTTGTTTTAATGTTTTTAGAATGACAATATAACAGAAAAACGAATTATTAATTCTGTTAGAATGAAGAATATAAATCTGCTCATCAGTTTATACATTATATTTCATTAATCTTCAGCTATTATTATTCATACATTTAACTAACATGTACATAAATGACAAAGAAACTAACATCATCAATTCAGTGTATACTTTAAAATGACACAGTAAAGTTTGTTATAGTACATGATTATGCTCATTTTATAAATTGTACATGATATATACATATTACTTAAATATTTATAAGGAAGTAGCTCATATACAGTTGTAATATATATATTGAACATTTAAGGAGTACATTTTAAAACACAAATCTTTAATGAATATTTACAAGAAAAAGCAAACAAACAGAACAGAACAGAATAGTTCTCCTAATTAATGGTTGTGCACTAATTTTGATAATGATTTATATAATCAAATTAATGAGAAATATTCTATACAAATACATAGATACACGTACATAGGGATATTTTGTATACATATACACACATTTACACATACGTGCACACACACACACAAAAACATGCACAAATCTATCTCGTTTGCACTAAATTTGTTATGACTTTACTTTCTTTCAAGAGAAGGAGAAAAAAAGTGAGGAAAGAATACGAACTTAAGGAATAACATAATGTAATCTTTATAAGGTTCTGTTTAGTTGGACCATTCAGTTAAACAAAGGAAACCATACATTGTAATCTAAATTGCAAAAATGTCATTTGTAATATTTTACATTTGAGAAAAGAATGATAAACTTTGATTTGGGATTTTATTTGTGTTGAACTTTCTTCAAGTTTAGGAGCACTGTTCGTTTTCTTTTTTAAAGAAAAAATATGTAACTTTTACTAAAACGTTCTTTCGGTTTCTTTTTTATATGCGAACTGTATACAACATCCTTACTGAACGTTATTACTATGAAAATTGGGGATAATATTGTTTGATTGTGCAAGGAGAATGTTACGTCCTTGATCTGTCTACCCACTTTTAGTGCTGAGGATAACTTGTCTAATCTGGATTAAGACATTGACTCGATAGGCTGACCGGCTTAATAATGAGGCTAGAACGCGTGAGTTCGAAGTGGGGTAGAGAGAAGAAAACTATCCTATCACCTGATTGGCTGAGAAGTACGCGAGTGAGAGAGAACAAGTCAACTGGAACACTACTCGATTTATTCTCAATTCCGATCTGGTTCCCGATCCCCCGATTTCAGATTAGTGGAAAAGGGTCCATGAATAAATAGATGACTAATCCGACCATAAAGTACAATAATTAGGAAAATACAATTTTGTCCAAAACTGGAGATTGGCGTAGAAAATAGAGTACAAAATAATACGTTTAAATTACAATAGCTTTGGAACAAAAAAGGCTATGGCAGTGAATCATACATCTAACGAAAGCTTAGGATTTGTAGAATAGACTAGGGACAAAACTAAATGTCACTGTTTTACAAGCTTTGCATTAAACGTAATAACGTCCCGAAAAACAGCTTCCGTAGTTTGTCAAGGCTTCTTATTTCTCTGTTCACACCAGAGAATAATAACGAAAATTTCTAATGAGTCTTAAAAATAAGTATATAAGATATTTTAACATTTTATGTAGATTGGAGAAAATAAGGAACACTACAGTCTTGTGATGTACATCCACTGACCACTTAGTACTTATTATAAAAGTAAAGGGTATGTGATTATCAAAGTTTATGATTTACACCAAGAGCTTATTTTAGTCAGAAAGCTAATGAAAATTAAGAAGTACTTAACAGCTATTTAATCACAGTTTGTGTATCCATGACCCTAACGGGAATAGAACGCAGATCCTGAAGGTTTTATAGCGTGTGCCCGACTATTAGACAACTGAGTCGAGATCCGATGGTTTATATTACTAATTTAAGTTAATTGTGCAATTATTTGGGCTTCAAACCCAACATAGCTGAATTCCGAGAATCACTTTACGGAATGATTCACCAGTGACCATAGGAAAATTATTAATGTAAAAGCTTTATGAACATTGTTCTCTGATTTTTCTACTGGTAGGATGTTTCCACTTTATTTGCAGATAATACTCGTAAGCTACTAGTATTTGATAACAGATGTCTTAGAAATATTGCCCACATCTTCTGGGATCATCGGGTAAGTAACAGTAAACATAGACGCGGGGTGTTAGGGAATGATGGTAAATCAGTTGATGAGGTTGTGCATCTACATCGACTGGGATTATTTGGCCACATATTACGCATGCCTACCACGGTGTGCAATGCTGATTAGTGTTGGAGACGGATAGAAGAAAGCTGGGGATGGCCAAAACAAAACGTGGCATCAATCCATAAAATCACTAACTTCTGGTCTGATCCATGTTGGTAGATGCACACTAATTAGTTGAGGTTCGAAAGACTATCGTAAACAGCGGTTGGAGACTCTGTGTGACATGGCTCAGAATCTATCATAATGGCGTAGGTGTATACACTCTTTGTCTTCCCTTAAACCGTGAGATGAAAATTACATCATACCTTACCATCAACGAACTAATTCCTCCCTGTATCACATCTTTACGTGCAATCTTTTTTTATATATTACTACCACTGAAGTAAGTGCTGCTATGAATTTGGTGTTCATCTTGTTGTGCTAATGAGGTATGGAGGCTTTGACCGATGCATATGTACCTTGTCCTACGTTATGGCTCACTGAATCTAGTTGCAATATAGTCACTAACCTGAGTGAATCAATTTTGAGCTGTGACTATTTTGGTGCTAAGTGGTTAGAAGCAAGCATCAGGAAGCCGTAGATGACTTTTATGCTAGCCAGCACCTGTCGACAAACCATTTTGGTGCTCCTGTGACATAAATGTAATGACAATCAGTTTCCACAGGTGTACAAATATATCTTGCTAATGAGTACTGCAAAAAATAGGGAATGAGAAAGTCAATACATTATGAAAATAAATCTCAACAACTGATCAACTTGGAAGTAAAATGTTATGAGAATGGATTTTTCAAAAAGGTGGACAAATCAGTTTATTGCTAGAGGTTTAATTTTCAAATGTAACACTCAGCAAGTCGTTTGCTATCTTTATTGTTTAAAATATACGTCACGTTTTTCTTCATAACATCTGTAATATAGATACTGTTCTGTAAATAGACTGAATATCGACTATGTGACAGATATCAAAACTTTCAATCTCTAATTAATGAGATTAGTCAGTGCCTAATAGAGTTAAGACATATATAGCCAATTCTGAATTTTCGGAATCCAATAAAGTATATCTCCCCCTTAAGCACCCAATAAATCCTTGAATACACTCGCATAATATTTTGAATGTCAATGGATCATAGTGTGTAGATAGTCAAAGAAAGATGCACTGTTTAAGGTAAATACTACGTGGATGTGTTCTTATTAATCTGAAAACAAAGAATATTTGAGCAAACAGTTGTTTTCAACAACTTCATTACCAGGCTCCATAATTACTGTGATATTTTACAAAGGTCAGAGCAAGGCATACATTAATGAATTTGACAATATTATGCATTAGAAGTGGTGGATTTTGCATCCTGAGAATTTGGATATTTATATTCAGGACTACCAATCGCTCAAACTTAATTTGTACAAAAACGTTTGACTACTTATTTATTTAAAAGTAGTCAAACTAGGCAAACATCCAAATATCTATGGTTCCGAAAATCGGCGGAAATAATACGTAAGCGTTTGAATTTCCTCGTACAAGTCTCGATGTGAACATCAACATCGGGGTACAGGCAAATTCACTTGAAGTCTTAAAAACAATATGAATGTCACGTCTTGGTTGCTACTGTTAGTCGAAATACAACAATGAGTAGAAAGTTAAATGAAACAAGTCAAACCTTTCTAATAATACCTAGTTAAATGTAACGTTCAAAAATGGTTTTTCGTCAAAGCATTTCCAGATATTTTATTTGTTTTATTAGGAAATTTCGTGTCTAAAAATAAACTGAGCTGTTAATCACCTTACAGATTATACCAAAATGTATTTCATTAACTTTCTAATTTGTTAAACATCTAAAATTTAATAACGATCAAATAAGTTTCTTCCAGGTTAACATATAAGTAAACTTCAAATAACCGGTTGGTCTACAGACGTTCATGCTGTTTTCCCAATCGTAGCCCGTGAATTAATGTGGTGAATAAGCTTACTCGTGGCGATGGCTCAATCGAGTTATGTTGAATGGAATACTTATTCCCCTAGGTCCTATCATGTTTAGCAAGTTGGCTGGAAAGTTATCAAAAGGAAACCATAAAATCTGAGTGCGAAGTCAAGCTGACGACTATACAGGAATGAGACGACAAAAATTGAATCCACCGGATAAGCAGAATCTGCAGATGTGTTGTCTTCTCAAAACAGTAGGAAAAAGGAATAAGACCTCGGCCCTTGACATAGTAAACCTCACCTTGCCCCACGGATTTCCTTAACTGGAAGTAAGTAACTTAATTCACCTATTTAATACAGACAGTGTGGTACAACTGGATAGCAGAAGATGAGTATAAGCGACATAAGCAAGGAGATAATATTGTGAAGAGGTAAATGAGGGAACAGGAGTACAAACAAAATAAGCAACCACGTAAACGAAAATACTATATAGTAGGAGTTATATTTCAGACAAAAATAAAACCAAGAGAAACATCTCTTGGTTACGGTACTTCATCGCATTTTTATGAACAACGTAGAAAAACGCAACAAGACAACTGTCATTGGCTTCTACTCTGAGCCATGTCTGATAATATTTCAAGCCACTGAAGTTGATTCATGTCTCGGACACCGAATAGGGAGTTGTGATGGACCGACAGATGGCAATCATATACAACTAGGCTGTTATGAAATTACCACTCCTCCGCTTTCCGCACTCAGTATCAGCAAATAATGTTACATATGGTGGACATCAGGATGATATTCATAAAACAAATCAAAACCACTAAGGCCAGTATTTCAAGGTGATGACACTGATTTAGTTGTCATTACTGTACCCGAACACAAATTGGCAAACTGACATTCTGTTGCCACTGGACGTCAGAAGTCCTTCCATCCCTACGACGGTCGAACACAGAGAATCGCCGGACATCCTCGGCTGGTAGGGACCAGGTTCTACAAGCTTACAGTAGTACAGCTCGCACCGACGCGTAAACCTGAGCCCTTATAGGCAGACTAACATTACAACAGAGCGGAAGAAGGTTCAGATCGTCACAAGCCATTCTGGCTTTCACTATGCATAGATTGATCTCATGATACGCCAACACCAGCACTCAGCTTCCTACTAATCATGAATAAGTATTTCGGATTTGGAAGGTGTAAAATACATGCTATATTTATAAACACCAAGTACCAATTGAAAAACTGAGGTTTGAATTAGTTCCGTGTCATCGCACAATAAGACAATCTTATTAGCATACAGAAGGTAGGAAAGTCATTTTACAGTTAATCCTGTAATGCACAAAGGTGGTTGCATACCTTCAATCTACCTGGGGTATTTGTGTATGGAGCTTCCAAGATATTAATAAACTTCACAGAAAAATCCTTCCCTAGAAGACAATCTCAAATCATGTTTTTATCCAACAAATTAGAGACAACCTTAATATCAAGAGACATGAAGACTGCTGATCTGCAATAAGTATGATAGTGGTCTAACATTTGGAGGAGAGTGAATAAGTGATCAAGACCTTTAAAGCACGCAGCTAACACAATAAATACTACTCAGAAAAACGTTATGTATGACCAACTTCAAATAATTGTCCGTTGAGCTCCGAAATCACGTTTCCAGGTCACCAACATCACTACTATCTACTAATCTATTTCCCTTTCTAGTTAGTTCAAGAAAAAGTATCCATATCCATATCATTTTTATCTATTAATTAAGAATAATATAAAAGTAGACAAAAGTAATATACCAGTTCCATAAGCATAATACATATATTTTGTTTCACCAATACTAGGAATTTCTGCAATGATATTGCTAACACATAATTGACCATCCTTAACATCAGATGACTAAGAAATGAAAAGAGACAAGAATAAATGAAATATAAACCCTTTTAATAAAGTGAAGTATATAAAACTTCATTATAGTGGTCTAATTAGTAAAACATAATTTATCAGATTACATATTGATAGAACATCAGAAACATGTGAAATTGTTAGATTCATTTAGATGGTGGTTGGAGGTAGTCAACAGGAAACCCTGGACCCGGGCGTCGTGCTACTTGGCACTCGTCAGCAAGGTGTACCTGTAATCTTGAGGGAACTGGTGCTCCCTGGCGGATTCGATATCGTGTCACCCAGCTTCACAGTCAGAGACGTTACCACTGAGCTATCCGAGCCGTGACTAACCTCCTGTAGGACTGAGATGTAATCACAATTGATTGATCACTGGGTGGTGATCAATGTCATGCTTGTCTAGTCCTTATTAGTGCAGATCGAATGCTATCGATCATGTTGCAATGTGGCCACCAGTCTAGGTGACTCGACACTGCGGTCACCTAGACTGGTGGCCACATTGCAACATGATCGATAGCATTCGATCTGCACTAATAAGGACTAGACAAGCATGACATTGATCACCACCCAGTGATCAATCAATTGTGTTAGATTCATTGGAATAACACACCCGAGGTCGATTACAACTGGAAGACTATATATATATATATATATATATATATATATATATATATATATATATATTGACATGTTGGAATATCTGGATGTGAATGAATCAGTGAATCCATTCATGATTCCCTATGATAAATAATAATAATTAACGTATGTTTAAGGAAAAACTCACATCTCATGTGATGAATTCAGTAATAACAGTCAACTGTTAGCACAAAAAGAATGACCAGGAGAAAGAGCTTATATCTAACAAATATGCAAAACGAATTTCTATCAATGAATGCTAATCACAGCTTTGCTACATAGAACGTTCTTCTTATAGCTATCAACTGTCGTCTAATCGCTACGCTATTCGTATATTTTTTATGATTTATTTATTTATTTATTTTAAACGCATAAACATTGGTACAAAGAGGGACTAACATATATATGAACCACAAAAAATTTCCTATGGGATATATTATTGTTCCGGTGCAAAAATTGAAACAGATGGTCTTCCTAAAGAACCACTCCGCGAGCTTTAAGTTAAGAGGTTTAATTCACAAGGCAGTGCAGCAAAGTTAGGAGACCCAGTCCCATGGTAACCAGTAGCCAAGAATAAGTTTATACCTTATTTATCTCCTCAGGATTTTGGAGCCCATGTGTACTACTAGCTTGGGGTTGGAGTTCCCCAACTCCCTTAGGTGGACCCTCCGTAACCACCAACACAGCCTAGGTACGGTACATCCGCTTTTCTTACTCTTAATTTTGTAAACAACAACTTTCTATATGAGCATTTCGAGAGCGAGCGAGCTGAATCTCCCCACCTTCGACATTTGAGGGCCTGTTCTTATAGGTAAAGGATAACACGAACTTCTAGACGAGATTGAATAGAGCCGTAGTAAAATGGAAAGATAAGGAGATATTCTAGTGTTTAGTTAAAAAAATAGTTTGGATAAAACAAAACGTAAGTCCTACCAAAATTGTTGATGAAAACTAAGCTTAACAAATTGAAGAAACTATACTTGGCTGATGAACCAATCATGTTTTAGAGGCCATGTGTATTTGAAACTAAAATAATCACTTTAGATCAATTCATTGGGAATTTCAATAATTCTATTATTCAGTATTCGCAAGATTTTAGACTAATCAGAACTATCACTACTTCTGGTTATGAAAACTGAATAATTACAAAAAAGCACAGTGTCATGGGATGAGGTAGTATAGTGCTGTACTGTGTATTGGATAAAGAAAGCAGTACCAATGCCGACAGATCATGTACTAATTATTCATTGAATAATGAAGATACCAGAGGATCACTGGAGTATCAAGAGTGCAATGACAACAATTTATTAGACATTCACTTTGAAATGATGTCAATTCTAAAACTACAGCTTGAAAATGTCGGTCGAATGGTTCAAATAGACGAAACTGTTATCCGGAAAGTGAGATGTAAAGAAGGAAGGAGTCCACTGATAGAATAGATGAGTAGTATTGTGTTCAATTTAACTTGCAGATTTTCATAGTTCGTAGCAGAACTCTACAGAAAGATCACTTTTAATACGCTAAAAATGAATTTCATCGTAATACCTATCATTAGAAAGTACGTAAAACGAGGAACTACGATTTATACTGACAATTAGGGAAGCATACAGATGTCTTCGAAGATTCATTTGTAATCATAAGGTGTCATCCATAAGAATCAATTCGTGAACTGTCCAAGTAACGTTAAGTTGATGTTGTCAAGATTGAAGGACTATATTGGACACCATAATATTTCCAAGGAGTACAACCAGCTGAAGTAGTATAGACAAACCTTTATAAATCTATAAATCATGGTAAAAGGTGTATATACATTACGATTTTTCTTTCATTCCCTGTAATAACTTATCGACTTATATCACATGCAGTCCAGATAAATCTGGTTAAAACTACTCAATACTACTACTACTACTACTACCAATTTGCTCAAATTCATCCCTATACCTTGGGATGGAACAATACTTTACTAAAGTATTTACAACTGGTCGATCATTGGATAGTGATCAATATTACGTGTGTAAAACCCTTCTTAATGCAGATCGAATTCAATCGATCAAGTTTCAATGTGTCCATTAGTCTAGGGAATTAATATCGCATTCATTATGTTAAGATGTAAGGTGGTAGAACTGAGATATTTCCAAATGATTGATCTCTGAGTAATAATCAATGTCATATAAATAAATCTTAGCCCTACAGACCAGTCACGGACCGAACAGCTCGACGATAACATCCCTGACTGTGAAGTTGGATGATACGGGAAAAAATGGCTAAAGGAATAATCAACTTGCTCAAAATTACAACAAACACATATTGCTGATGAGTTCTAATTAACACAAAACCCAGGTTAAACAGAATTTCTTCTCAATTACCTCTAATCACTCACTACTTTACAATTAACTAATCAATATTCTTCAATTCTTTATAACCTTTTTCAATGTTATCACAATAAATATGATGAAAATGATAGTTAAAGCAGAAAAATACCTCAAATTGAAAATATATAAACAAGCAAACAAACAAACAAACAAATTTTATACAGAAACAAGAGTAAGGACCAATTTACCTTTGTAATATTCATATTCATCACGTTCAAATTTTCTTTCAGTGTTTTGATCAGCTAGTGATTAAAAAGAGGATAACAGACGATTCTAGTACTAATACCAATACTAATGATACTACTACTACTACTACTACTACTACTAATAATAATAATAATAATAATAATAATAATAACTTGGAAAACCGAAAAATCGATACTTCAAAAAGATCATCTTCAGGTTAGTTCAAAAATCAATAGTAAATAGGAAGAGTGCTCTATTTTAATTCAAAAAATTACAGAGCTCACTATATGAAATTTATGATTTGGAATTTTCAGGAAAAAAATATATGCTGTTACACTACTAGAATCTCAAAAAGAGAACATCAGTTCATTCAGAAGATTACACAATTACGTCTTGTTGTCAATTGTTAGCTATAACATAAAACCTAGATTGAGCGGGATTTATAACAGATTGGTCGTCAACCATCTAATGCTATTTGATTAGTTTGTAGTAGTTAATTCATATTGTCTAATTCTTATTTTTCAATTAAATTCTTTTATTCAACCTTAAGTATAATTATCAGTCTATTAGTTATTTAACATAAGAACAATGTAACTCATTTATCAAATACAACTTTATGCATTGAACTATTAACTAATTTACCAGGTACAGATTCATGTATTTGGCTTTAGGTTTCATTTAAAATGTGAGAGTTGATGATACTATTCAGTTGTTAAATCGAAGTGGAAAGGAGTTCAAATATACGATTTATTGGCTGAAAGTTGAATGGCTTAACCACTAAGCTATCATTCTAACTGAACTATAGGCAACATTATGCCAAAGCCAATCATATTAATCGGCTCTTTAATCCAATGAAGATGGAGAGGAGTCCCAATGTACATTTTGTATGGCTATAGATGATCTGAACCAATTATTAAGAAACACTAGATTTAAATGTTGTGCCAGTTAGTGCTTGTCAGAAAGGTATACATATTACAGCAGAATTGCATTCATAGACTCCTTTTTTGTGCACCATATACAGTATTGTTTTTTGTATCTATTTAATCCTGGATAAGTGGTCAAATATTTAACATCGTGTACGGGTAGAGGAAAGTGTTAACTAGTGATATGTGGTAAGAGAATTGAAATTAATCTCTATGTGTTATAACCACACTGAACGCCTAAATGATCAATGACTCAATTAACATGTACAGATCGATTTACTTGGTTTTAAGGCACACACATTTATTTAGAGGGAACACTGACTGTTTATGAAATATATACATTTAGTCTTTAATGTATTCCACAACCAAAGCTGGTTGTGGACTATCTTCTATAGCTTCACTTCTGGTCTCACAGTTATTCCGGATTCGTCGCCCTTTAGGCCTTCTGAAACTCCTATCTCCGACTGTTGATTGCAGCAACTCCTACGCAGCCCTCCACTGCATGCTACTTATAAGCAGTTTTGTGAGTAGCGTCCACTATACTACTACTATAATGAACGATAACACAGGTGGGGACAAGTGATGTATTTAAATACGAAATTACAGACTCTCTTGGTAGCATATAGGAATTATATACTTCACTCGCAAATTTCCATCATTTGTCTTTCATATTCAGTATGATTCTTCCAGTTCACAATTCCTTTGTATTTTCCCTTTTATTCTTTTCAACTCGATCTTCTTAGCCTTCTGTTGCCAGGTCTTCCACTTTCGATTGATGTTACATACTACTTATGCTGACAGATACAAGTAGCATACACCACACTACTACCACTCAGTTGACTGCACCAAATTAAGTGGAGCAGTTTCAGACTACAAACTTAACGATTAAAAGTTGAACACGACAACCAATGACCCAATGCTTCATTAAATGGATGAATAAGTTAAAATTCAGTTGTAAATTTGTGGAAGAAAGAATAAAGAAAATCAAACGAACACACGATCGACGCAACTTTTTAAAATGATATAAAGAAAAGAAGTTAACAACAAGAACTTACATCGTTCAAATTATTTTTTATTTGATTTAAGTCATCCAATGTTGTTTTTAATCTCTACAATGTAAACAGATCACATACTTCTATGCATGTAGAATAAGAATTACATATAATCGTAAAGTAATAAGTGAATAGACAACTGATCTTGTAAGGGAGAGATTATATCATGAATTAATAACCTATGGGTAGTGATTAAAAATTATAGGACTCCTTGCATTACCGAAGCTATCATGATATTCTCAGAAATAGAGAATGCCAGCTTATGTCACAATCCGAGGTGAGACCTTATATTGTATTGTATTGAACTACATGAACATAACTTAGGAATTACATAAGACTTGTCAATCGATAGGATGTAGAGAAAATGTAGATTGTCACATTAGAAGAAGTTTGGTTTTTATGTGTTACACTCAATCCACGACAATCGGTTGCAATATCCAGGCTTCTTATACGCTTGCTTAACTAGAAATCCAGTTGAGAAAACTGAGGAATACCTTGGAAGATGTAATTGGTAAAATTGAGCAGTCAAGTACACAAATCATTAATATATATATATATATATATATATATATATATATATATATATATATATATATATATATATATATATATACAAATTGTTTTTCTAAATCCGAAAAGGACATGGAAGCTGAGATCTTATGTGAATGCACAATCAATGTCCTACAACAATGTGCCATGTTTATAATTGCTCGTCTATCATTTGATAGTGAGGTATATGAGTACAAGTATAAAGTATGACTAGAACCTTTCGGTACATCATCATCATAATCTAATATCAACTGAAGAGAATGACTGATGTCATGTCTATCCAATCCTTTAGGGAAAATTGAATTTTATTGATCACGTTGCAATGTATTAACTATTAATCCAAGTGACAAAGTTTCTTGTCAACCACCTAAAACTACTTTAACACGCTCTTCATATCCATCAGCTATTAAACCTAAAATTAAATGCAAATTTTATAAAATATTAAACTTACCTTCGACAAACAAAAATTAATGCAACCTACCTGATTGGATGAGTGAAGACTGGAAGTTATATCTTGGAAGGAGTACTCAGTAGTTGGCTAAGATGAGACAAATAAAAGACAACAAAAAATAAAATCTCCACTATAGAAGTCACAAGAATAAATTCCTAATTGGTGCATATTGAAGATAAATGGAATTATTACCATAGGTAGACATAAAAAGACACTACGAAGGTTTACCAAGTTATCAACTTCTGTTTATACAGGTATTGATACATGAGAAGCATTACTGTGATTTTAATCACAATCTTTTATTAATACCATGAACCGATGTAAGATAGACAATCATTGAAAAACTAGAAACACTAGATGGCCGTTTCCTTTCAGTATGGGACTCTTCACCACTGCACATCCACGACCCTGCAACCAGGCATCTGACCCAAAACCTTCGGACTCGCGCTCGAAACCCTGACCTCCAACGATGTAAAATTTTTATTTCAATCAATTAATGACATTGAACGACCATCTTTGGTAAGTAACTTCCTCACAGCTGATATGGTTGAACTCCACTCGTCACGGCTTGTCATTAGACCTCAGGGAATTTTCTCTCGAAGCTATCCACTGGTGAACACATGATGATTATCAATATAGGATTGTGGGAATTGTCGAAGCTCATTGATATCACGAACTAATTTAAGTTAGACAACAATCGAAAATATGGAAGCACTGGACGGCCTCTCATTACGTTCACTATGACCTCCTAAAGTCCCATACTAGGACGATGGTTGTTTAACCTATATCGGTTAGTGACATCGATAAAATCCAACTATCTCCACAACCCTATACTGATAATATTAGCCAATCAGAAACAAGGAGACTGGTTTTGGTGGGAAATTCAAAAACGTTTTATTTTTATGCTTCACTATAAAAAAAATACGAGATATATTTATAATTGTTGGTTGGTCGGATATCACCACCAACACCCTACTGTGGGAAAGAACAAACCAGATTCCAGAAATTAGGAAAAGACGATGAAAGTGGATAGGACACATTCTGGAGACCACCGAACTGTATCACGAAGCAAGTCCTAACTTGGAATCCTGAAGAGAAACGCAAAAGAGGAAGACCAAGGAATACATTGCGTCGGAGATTGGAAGCAGATATGAAAAGGATGAATAACAACTGGAAAGTATTGCCCAGGACGGGGTTGGATGGAGAGTGCTGGTGGGCAGCCTATGCTCCTCCAGAAGGGGTAACAGGCGTAAATAAGTAATCTCTCACTGGAATAGCAGACAACCTGGTAGAGTAGCAATACCGAAAGAGGGCGATTTTTTTCATACAACTTCGTGTTCATAATGGCCATGGTGATAGTATGTTTGTAATTTTACCTTCGCAAATCCTCAACGAATTAATTAAATCAGATTTTACGAGTAATGACTATTTAAAGCTACGAGAAAGACTTAAAGAAAAACGTTTTCTGTGAATAAACTCCCACCCAGACCTATAGTGTTATATGGTGACAGTTCTACAACATTGAAATAAGAAAACCGATAATAGGACTTGGAAAACCAGTAATCTTAAAATCATTGGATTCTGACAGATTGTTCTTAGTTCTGTTACGAAATACATTTGATTGATACAGTCTTTATGCCGATTAGCTAAGACAAGAATGGCTTCAAAACCATACGGTCATTATGGAAAAATCGCTCAACCTCACACATACACACTAAAACTTGACCGATTCTGCATAAACTAGGTAAAATAAACATACCTGACCAGTAGCAGAAATTAAGCGAAGTGATGATGCATTTTGCTTATCAAGTTGACGAAAACGTATCCATGTAGCGCTAAAACCAATCAAACCAGCAGCTAAACTAAATCCAACAGTCCATTGTCGCATTCGGCTAGCTTGAATGCGTTCTTCAGCTTGTGAATGACGTAGAATACTAGAGAATTGTTCAAATGTTACTTGTTCAGCTAATTCAATAGATGTTAACTTATCACGAGCTTGTTGATGTTGACGTGAAAGCTACAATTGATTATATATGAAGAAGAAAAAGACACACTTCGCTTATCTTTTAAATTATGAGAGAATCATAAATAGGTATACATTTTAGTCAGAAAATGAAATAACATTCAATACAATAATTGATTTGAATGATGAGATGGTGAATCTTTATCGAATGAAATGGTTGGGATACATATTAGATATGCTCAACTATCAACTGCCTGGATATGTTAGGTTGGACGAAAGCTAGAGACAGTCGAACCGAAACATGACATCAGTCCATTAAAACGATGACTGTTAGATTGAGGCGTATAGATTTATACAGACTATCTAGTTGGGGTTTTATGCTATGAATATGACATAACGAAGAATCGGTTGAAATAGCATAGATATATTCATCTTTCCTCTTTACTGTGATCTTGAGTTTGAAAATTATGTTATAATTTTTTTAGTCAACACATTCATCCATTCTCTTACTACCGTTAATAATATCACTACTTCTAATACTCTGACATTTAAATAATTTTATCTCCCTGAGTAGATGTAGCTTGCCCGACCGTTGTTGCTACCTTGACGTGGTGGTCGGGCTTGCCTATTGTGATGAAGCAACCGAGCTATACTGACTGGAACAACTGTTCCTCAAGGTCCTACCACGTCAGAAAGATAGGTTGAAAAGCGGTAAGACTAAAAGCAACAAACCCAAGGTCCGAAGGCGAAGTCGTGCTGCTGACTGTACAGAGGTGTGACAGCAGTAAGGTGTTTCCTTCAGAACACCAGCATGACAGCGATGCTGCTTTCCCACAAGGAGGGGTGGGGTTAGAAAAGGTCGACCCTAAAAATGCACACCTCGCCTTATCCCACGGATATCCGTCTCCGGCGGTTAGGTCTCAACAAGTACGGAGCTAACACAAAAATTGCCCATAAAAAGGTCGTGTGTGACCGACCTCAAGCAGTTGTCCCTTGGGCACTGCGGTCACGCTCCCAGGTCACTAAGACCACTTCTAATCCGATTTCCTTTTCAGATACCTCCAGAAGAACCCTTCCACGGTGTGGGCAACCGGGAAGTGACAACCGCCCTCATACCTCTAACAGCACTCAAGACCACTGTAGCTGACTGACTGAGATGTAGTTTGGCAAACTGCAAACGTTATATTTCAGCACTTCAAAATTATATAATATTTGTATAGAATAGATGGGATGTAGCTAGCAAAGGAATCTAGGATGTAAGTTTCACCTTATTTAGGATTAGTCAGCTGCATGGTTTGGTTGTTTAGCTTTCATTGTTCTTCTGAACAACATCATCAACGTAAACTCCAGGCAGTAGTGAAATGTTCGAATTTCTCCACATATACCTCACAGTTTGTACTATCGACCTCGATCCTGAGTGGTTATTGTTGATGCAAATGATTTTGTGAGTTCTTGGGTTGTTGCTACCGCAATCGGGAATCTGGTCTGTGCAGGTCGGATTCCAATATACTTGAGTCCCCAGTTTTCCTGTGTCGGTTCTGGTGATTAATACATCCAAGAATGATAGTTTGTTGTTGGACTTCTTTTCGATTGTCAACTTTATGTTATCGAAGACATTGTTGATCGGATTGTAGGTGCTTTCCAGCACATCCCTTTTGAAGGTGACGAATGTATCGTCCACATAACGGATCCGCATTTTTGGCTTGATAACTGGTAAGACTGAGGCTTCCAGTATCTGCATTGCCTCTGTAATAAGTCTTGATATTGGTAGTCCCACTGATGCTCTTCTCGTTTGTTCGTGGATTTTGTTGTTGAATTGAAATAGTTGTTAAGCACAAATTGATGAGTTTTAGTAAGCTTTGACTTTGACGCTTCATGTACTTTGTGTCATTGGTGAAGAGGAGGAATAGAGTTTCTTCAATTGAGAGATAACTCCCATTTAAACATTAAAATTATAACACAAAGTTCAGCGAAGGGATCTCTTTTCAACGAATTTATTATCAAGCTGTACAATCGTATATATATGAATTTTTTGGAGCAAGGTACATTAGCCGTAGCCAGCGCTCGCTTTCAACTCGGATACGGGAACATATCCCAGCTTGGTGAAAGGAAAGCAGTTAGGAGTTCTATACTTGAACACCTAATCGACTATAACCATTCTACAGATCCACAAATTGACTTTAAGGTTGTTTATATGATTCGTTCAAATCTATCTAGATTTCTTCGTATCCAACTCTTAAAAATAGCCGAAGTTCTTACCATCCAGGAGCTTAAATCAGAACTATACGTACAAAAGAAGTACGTCTTATCGTTATCGTTACCTTGGCCTTAATTGTTTTGATTATCCTATTATTATTATTATTATTATTATTATTATTATTATTATTATTATTATTATTATTATTATTATTATTATTATTACTGCATTTCCCCCTTTACCTATGTCTTATATTCTCATTGTTTTATTCGTAAATTCTCATCATATCACCTTATTTATTTTTTACACCTCCATGACCTTTAATTATTATAACAAAAACATTTTAATCATCTTATGATATTCACCAAATCCATTGTTATTGTTATTATTCATATTACGTAATTTAGTATTATAACCTTTTTATCAACTGTGTTCACATTCCCGCACAGAACAGTTTCCTTTGTTAAGCTTGATTCAGTTGAGGTGAATAAGGCTGTTACACCAAAGGATGTTATCAGTTCGTCGTTGTTGATCTGAATCTCCTCAACATTGTTCGAGAAATGTATGGGATATTTTATGGAGTGATTGGATGAATCCACTAGATTTTTCAATATTTTTGGAATTTATTTGGATAAATTGTATGTTGGGGTTCTGGGGAGTGATAGAAATGGACGTAGTGGGATGTTTGGTTTGTGTATTTGTAGCCTACCGTAGAGTCGAGGGAGTAATGGTCCACTGGATTTCATTCTCCATTGATCTTGGTTTGATATTTGTTCAGCTTTGACGAGCTTGTTTAAAGTCCTTTAAATTCGTTTGCCTAACCTATTGATTGGACTTGTGTCCACTGATTTATATGCTCTCTTGTCCTCAAGTAGTTCCTCGGCTTTCCTGATATATTCTATCATGTCCATATTCATTGTAGCCCATCCTTTGTCCGCTGGACAATATCTTCTCTGGTTCTGAGACTTTTTAAGCCCTTTTGTTCTTGTGCGGTCAGTTGGATGTTTTTATTTTTCCTCTGAGTTAGCGGTACTATGGTTTGTCTTATTTTCTGTTGACCATTTATTCCGGATTTTTTGAGTGATGACTCTAGTGCAGCGTAAAATCCTATTTTTGAAGCGTCACTTGTATTGTGGTTCAGTCCTTTTCGGATGAAGCGTTCTTCCATGTTCATCAGAGGTTGTTTCGACAGGTTGACCACGCAGTTGTTTGTGTGTTCTTCTATGGGTAGCTTTGAAATCTTCATTAGTTTTTCCTTGAAAGTGTTCCTTCCTTGTTCTTTGTGTCGTCTGCTTGATATCTAGATCGCTGTTGTCAAGATTTTCAAATGTTCTGATGTATCATATCTGGCATCCTCTTCCGATTATCCATGATGTGTTGGTATTTGTGGATCATGTAGCGTGCATCAGATATAATTAGATGCACCACTTGCCTTCTGTTTTGCTCAGCTATTCTCCATCCCATTGGGCAGTTGATTGGTGGTCTGTATCCTACACTTGTTGGCAGAACATGCTGACGAAGACACTCATGGAGAAAATAGAGTTGTTCCTCATTGGAAGTCTGACTTTTGGCGAAATCCCCTTACCTTCGAACAACGAGAAGCGGGTTAAGCTCATTTGATTTTGAGATGGTGGAGAGGAGTTGATTTTCTTATTATTTATTTATTTTATTTGAACACATAAACATTGGTTCAAGGGGGCACCAAACATATGCGCCACACAAATTTCATTCTATTTGTGCGTAGGCTGTGATACTGACCGGATGCCCAGACCGAAGCAGGTGGTTTTTTAGGGGACCACACCCCAAGCCTTTAACCCAAAGGTCTGTCCCACAAGGCAGTGGAGCATCGTGAGGAGATGCAGTCCTATGGTAGCCGGTGACCAACAATTGGTTCATACGCCATTTGTTCCCACAGGATGCTGGAGCCCATGTGCACTATTGGTTTGGAATCCGGCTAAAGCGCCGGACATTCGCTTTTCGTCTTCACATTTTCGTAAACAACACCCCCGCCACGAGAAGGCAGTGAGTAGGAATTCCCTGGCAAAGGCTGTATACGCGTGGCCGTGTGAGAGCATTTCGAGAGGTGGGACGGGCCCTCCCCACTCTCGGCCATACCAGGGCATTTGGGGGCTGATGTTGATGAGGTTTAGACCCAGAATCCTTCGCTTCAAGAGCTAACGCGTAATCCAGTTAGCCACTGAATCCGAATGGTTACACACTTGTGCAATCTGTACGAATTTCTGATTTAATATGTAGTTTTTTTTAATTATCCCATTATTCATAATTTGATCAACTCTGGGATGTGGCAGGTATATACATTTGAAGAGTTCCAAATAAGCCGCAGTCCGTATCCTGGACTCCACCACTAGCCACATTTCATCTGTTCTATGTAGGCTTGTGTCATATTTATAAGTTGTTCAAAAGAAATTTTGAAGGAATATAAGGGTAGCCAAATCAAGACTTGGGACTAGTCAATGAAGTCAATGACCGAAGTTTACGCCGTACTACTCAGTTAGAGTCCACCCGATAACCGCCATAAGTGGTTGGGGACATTGGGTAACATGCCCCACAATGGCGCATATGAATATGCATTCGACCTTTATCTCCCTTCAGATCTTTAGCTTTAGTACTCCTTCATGGATAACTTATCAATTATTTTCTAACTATATTCCCAGTGTTTAATAATTCACAACATCATTGATGACACTGCTATTTCGGATCTTGTTATTTATCGTATTCATTACATCTGGTTATGCTAACGTGGTATGGGAACTTGCGTTGGCGAACATTTGTGTCGTGCCGTACGTTGATTATGAGTGACTGACTAGTTTGTCTGTTGGAAACAATAGAATTCAAAAAATAGGTATTACCTATATATGAGTTATATGCTAGCCACTTGTAAGTAATACTATGATGCAATCAACCATAGTATCAAGTGGATGACACTGTAATCTGAAGTGACGGATTTGAAACTTGTGAATCAGACATTATTGTAAACACTTATCTGTACAGTGAATATCAAATTCGCTTATTTCGAGATGCTGTTTGCTGGCGTAGGAGTAAATTGGAAGAAAACCAAGGGGAACTAAACCAAAACAGTATCAGCCCCCATAATAGCCATTGACTTCTGGAAGGAGGAGTTTTGGTAAGTGCTGACACATAAATAAGCTCTGAGCAGTGGACAAGATAAGTGATTGAAAAATCTTGATAATGTTCCTCGATTCCTAATGTTTTATACTACCATTTATACTGGCTACTACTATTCTGGCATTTGTTTTGATAATTTTATCTCACTGTGATGATACGATGTGACAAACTGAACAAATGATCATGTTAGCCCAGTTCAATGTTGCATATGATTAACTGACTGATAAAGCACCATGTGGGATTAAACACCTAGGTCATCTGATCAACTATCAGTTACAGGTGAATACTATATCTTAGCTAGATCATACTAAATCATTCTACACTGAGTTAAGGAAGTTGAACTTTCAAACTTTATCAAGCAATTCATAACACTTTACCAAAAAATAATTACGATAAGAGACCAAAATGATTATTTACCTCATGCAACTCTGTAACTAATTTCAAAAAACTTTCATCACTACGTTTAACACTATCTAGTTGTATGTTAATTCGATTTCTAGCTTCTTCTAACTGAAACACTTCCGTTTGACAAGCTCTTCTTTCGACTTGTTTCTGTACGAAGTTTCTTTCAGCCTATAATTTCAAGGAAAAGAGTAAAAGCATTAGGAAAATGTTAAATATTCAATATCCCGCTTATAAATGGGGTGAAGAATATGAACAAATCAGGATAAGATAACAAAACATAAGCTTTATACATTTGAGGAAAAGCACAAACATGCAAAAAAATCGGTATCATTTTATAAAAACAGCGTAATAAAGCAAAGAGAGAAGGGCATTTCATCAGTACAACAATCAACCAAAAAAGTACGAAGAGAAACTTCCACTACTCAGCCGATTTACGATTCAAGTAGCGAACCAAAGTGAATTGCAGTCTGTACATCAGTGGTTTGAATTTTCAAACGAAATTCAGTTTTTTTGTTGATGAACCCATTTACATCTTGTTTCATGGGTAAAGTATATTACTGTCGTGCCTGAGTGACCACGTTATTCCTGGAAGAGAATCGGGGCATTATATTTCATCTACAGAAAAATACTGGCTGGTAGAAAGATTTAATCGTAAAACATGACTTACTTCAGCGACTCCAACATGTAAGGATCTAACACGATCCAATCCAGTTAGATTATCGTAAATTTCATAAATTGAACGATAGTCCGTAGATTTTAGTTTTTCATACGAGTCAATAATAGATTGTCTAACAACAGCCGGAAAATTCACAAGATTCTTTACTAATCGCATGGGTAAATTTGGAAGCATGGCTTGAATTGAAACACCTGTAGAAAAGTAATTTGATGGGTGACAGTTCATAACACTGAATAACCACCACAAAATGAAGTAATTGTACATAATTTTACTTGGAAAGTACTTTTAGACGAACATGTACACATTTGTCAATGTATTTATTTCAATGAATTAATACTCTTCATTTTGTACGAAAATGCTACTTCGACTTTACCGCATGTCTGATCAACAACAACCGATGAGAATAACCGGACATACAGTGATATTACCTGCCATTACTTTATCAAACTGATGGGAATCACTTCTATGCTATACTCTGATCAAACAGGTTTCGATAGCAAGTTCTACATTTTTCGATGTCATAGCTGGTTTAGGTTAATACGATAAGAAACAACACAAATAAAATGGGAATATAAAACCATATTGAAGATGAATTAATGACAAGTTTTAATGTCCGTCCCTTATTCATTGATGCTTTTTTCCTAATTAAGTACTGAATGCTATACACAGTCATCTAGAATTTAGTACGAATTAAAAACAGAGATCTCTAATAAATTTATTTGGTAGTTTTAATGCCTTAGAATTATGATAAGGTTTACTTTATTAGGATTTTGAAATCTTTTTAGATGAACAGATGCAGCTTTGGGATCACGAGTTCCTCGTCATAGGACCGAAAGACAGAGATCAAGTTTAATCTAGTGTATACTTTGATGCCGAATCAGCAAAACCGCACTATACAGACGGCCTTAAGCAACATAGACATTAACTAGTCAGAAAACAGCCGATCAGAATGAAGATTTATGAAATGGTTTTAAAATACAAAACAATGATGAGATTACAGAGGATTAAGAGTTTTGACACGATAAACGAACTTCTACCCGAATTGTGTGCTGATTTTGTTCAGAAGAACAATAAAAGCTCCAAGACCAAACCATCCAGCTCGGAGAACAAAACTACACCTAAGCTACAAATTCTCATCTCAAAAATCGGCTCTATTCTAACTGCTAAGAATAAAACTCCCTAATCCTAACTCCTGAACTTAATACTTACGACACTAACTTCTATAACCTAGATTTAAATCCTAAATTAATAACCCTAATAGTCTATTCAGTGAGACTGATTTATGGACAAACTTTGAGTGACGCTACATTGACCTTGATAATGTTCAGTTACTTGGTTATAAACAAGTGTGAGAAATCAGGAATGACTTACAGCCGTGTGTTAGGATTAAGAGCTGGATTCAGGTTTGTAATCACGAACTGACATCGGCTATAATGCATAAGTAAGATTTAGCCAAATGAATGGATAAATTTCGTCCCCAAATCCATGACTGGTGATATTAACTCTGATTGGTTCGTCTATAAATTAGTCTCAGCTATCGGCCAATTTAGCATCGTATTGCTGCCTAAACGCATTAGCACGGTATTCCGATACAGACTTTATAAAATGAATAAATATCTTAAAAAGTACAGACCGAAGGATTGATAAACTTGGTGGTTATTTTGTATAACGAAGCAAGTTTAGAAGAAATCAGAGATCCTGAGCCATTACAATGGGTAATTACTTACAAATATATTGTTATATATGTAGTTCCAAGTTTGCGAAAGTCGAAGGCATAATGCAAACGGGAAGACAGTAGAATTGTTTATATGAGACCTGTTAGCTACGTGTCTGTGAACCTGATTTCAAGTAAATATACCCAACCTCTCTACTGCTTTTTAAGCTTGAAAGGGATCAACATTAGGCTTAAGAGATATACCTAAGCCAACGACGAGTCAACACGAAAAACTAAGAGCCAACACGTGATGTGACCAAAACTCGTATTTGCACCTACACAATGGACAGTTCGAAGTGGATTACCAAGCGTAACAAAGGAGGAATACGCTGACTAGTTCATACATGGCCATTAAACATTGATAGTTTAATATCCAAAAATGTAGAGAGGCAAGAAGTCTACCTCAAGAGCCAGCTTAGTGACCCTAAATTCAAAAACGTAACGACCTTCAAGATTACATTAAAAAACATTGATGAAGTCATGTTATTTGGCCTAAAGAGGCAATTGTGAATTGATTAAAAACATCACTGAAAGGGATTAATAACTCAGAAACTCGATTCTCTTGATTTATTTTAACTAGAAGATTTAATTTTGATGCTATTGTTGCCGTTATGAACAGAGTTATTGTAGCGGTAAATAAAACCCCAAAATAAATAGCTCTGCAAGTTTTCGGCATTGGATGCTGACCACATTAGCTTTAGTGGACTCATCTAGCTGAACGCGCTCGGCCATGCATCCACTCGAGTGGGAACGCCGTGCTCAACAACCTCTGCAATGGCTAGCCAGATAAGATCAGACGATCCTCGATATATTTATAGCTTATCAAATATATCTTCGAACCTTTTCGCTTCTGTCTTTTGATTTCACTTGGTGGGTAAGATTCATATTAGAATGTGTTACTGGTTAAAGCGTTGTTAAACTCCGAATACCTGTAGAAGCTTCATTATCAAAGTTTAGGGTAAAATAAACTTTTCAGCTACATAGTTTGTACTGATAACATCTTTTATGACTAATTGTTTGATTAATTATGAAGCTCCAGAACTATGCGTACAAAAGAAGTACGTCTTATCTTTATCGTTACCTTGACCTCAATTATTTTGATTATCCTATTGTTATTATTATTATTGCATTCTCCCCTTTACTTATGTCTTATATTCTCATTGTTTTATTCGTAAATTCTCATCATATCACCTTATTTATTTTTTACACCTCCATGACCTTTAATTATTATAACAAAAACATTTTAATCATCTTATTATATTCACCAAATCCATTGTTATTGTTATTATTTCGTGCCTTAAAGTAACCCTCGTGCTATTGATAGAAGAAACCAGACAAGTAGTGAATAGGTCTTTATTTCGATCTCAGCGCGGTAACAGTGGAGCGTCGGATTACCTGTTCAGACAAACAAAGGCTCTCAACATTCACTATAAGATAATAGGGAATATAACGCTTATACAAAACAAGGAAGTGAATGAATACTTGAACAGTACTGTTTTGGCATATGCTTGGTTGTTTGGGGTCAACTCTTAACCAACCAACCTAGGCTGTTACAATTATTCATATTACGTAATTTAGTATTATAACCTTTTTATCAACTGTGTTCACATTTCCTCACGGAATTAGTGCTTTTACAAAAACAAAATTTTCATATATATACGATTGTACAGCTTGATAATAAATTCGTTGAAAAGAGATCTCTTTGCTGAAATTCGTGTAGTCTGATTTACTGAAATGAGGTCTGTTCCGTGGTGTAAAGATTTCCGCGGGCAGACGCAATGTCGTTCCGTATGCAAGTTCAGCGGCAGAACATTGGATATCTGCTTTCATGCTCGTTCTGATGCCTAAGAGGACGAGCGGTAAGGTTTCGTACCAGTCGTCGTTTTCGTGTGCTCGAAGAGCACTTTCAAGTTGGGGGTGAAATATTTCATCGTAATATAGCTGCGATACCTGGATGAGATAATCCATGCAGGGCATCGAATATGAGACGGCGATAAGCAGAGTGTACGATAAGTCGAGGAAGACCGGCAGAAGCATCACATAGGATGGCATCAGAAGTCGTGACTAGGGATACTTCCTGATACTGAAGGGACGTAGAGTGTGGTGCTTTTTTACAAAAGGGATCGTTTGCTTGGGCGTCGGTCATAGAAGGAAAATGGAGCACCGGCAGAGTAACTGCATTCGTTTGGATTCGTGATAGAGCATCAGCAACACAGTTCGACTTGCCTTTGATGTGACGAAGGTCTGTCGTGAACTAGGAGATATAGTCCAAATGTCTGCACTCTCGTGGTGAGTAGCGGTCAGACTTGGTATGCAAAGCATACGTTAAGGGCTTATCGTCGGTAAATAAGATGAATTGACGTGCTTCTACTGCGAGCCGGAAATGTTTGATGGCGCAGTAGGCTGCTAGCAGCTCGCGACCAAAAGCGCTATATCTCGTCTCCGTGGGAGTAGGGCGTCGTGAGAAAAACTCGAGGAGTTGCCAACTACCGGAGATGTTTTGTTGCATGACTGCTCCTATGGCGACATCGGATGCATCAACCGCTATACTAAGCGTGGCTGATGTATCGGTATGGGCGACAAGAGTGGCTTGCGCAAGAGCCGTCTTGATCTCTGTGAATGCAGTACGTGCAGAATTGTTCATTTCTAATCTGCGTGGGTTGCTGCGAAGTTAGTCGGTTAGTGGTCGTAGCCGTTCTGCTACGTGTTCCATGAAACGACGGTAGAAGTTAACCAAACCGAGAAAAGCCTTCAGTTCCTTGAGTGAGGACGGCACGTTGCGCTCTTTTATTGCTTGCACTTTGTCCTCGCAAGGTAGAATACCCTCTTGTTTGATAACGTGACCCAGAAATATTGTTTCTCGTTTACACAACTCGCACTTGTCCAGGTTAACTACTATTCCATTATCCGAAGGGCGTTGGAATAATAGTGTAAGATGTTGATAATGTTCATCTACGTTTGATGATGCTATTAGCAGGTCATCAATATAGACGTGAACAAAATCTAGGTCTCGTACAATGCTATCGACAAACCTTTGAAAAGTTTGAGCAGCATTCCGTAATCCAAATGGCGTTCGTAGGAACTCAAACAAACCGAAAGGAGTCGTGATAGCAGATTTTTCGGTGTCTTCAAGAGCGACTGGGATCTGATGATATGCTCGTACCAGATCAATCTTAGAAAAGATAGTTGTGCCCTTGAACGATACCGTGATGTCGTGTCTGTGGGGGATGGGGTAGCTATCAAAGCGCGTAACTACGTTTAGAGCTCGGTGGTCGCCGCATGGCATCCAACTAACCCCATCTTTATTGCGCACCATGTGAAGAGTAGAGGCCCATGGACTGTGAGAAGGACGAATAATACCAGTAGCTAGTAAATTGTCAAACTCACGTTTGGCGAAAGCTAATTTGTCTGGTGCCAGTCGGCAAGGTCGTGCCGTGACTGGCGGTCCGCGGGTGACTAT